AACTTAGGGAGAACCAGTAAGGTGTCATCAATTAAATGGTCCAGTTCCAAACACTAAGTACAAACTAAATTTCATCACGTCACGGGTGTGTAGTCAAAATTTTCAAAATTGACTAATTCCGAGGTAGGTAAATATGTGAGTATAGGAAAAAGAGCACCAAAGACCCAGATTTTTACATCATTTCCTGGTTGAACAAGATGATCCAGAGTAATGAATGGGTAGGCTTTTGCTGATTGGCTGAATTCAGGTATGTGGATATTTTCATTTTAAAGTAAAAATATTAATGTTTGAATTAAATGATGGAATGAGGAAATATTCTAGAAAGTATAGAAATACCAGGGGATAAATTAAGGAGTGGGGTTGATTTTTGAAGTAGAGTGCCATTTACTGCGGAACTCTGGAAGTTGAAAAGGACTGCAAATTTGACCTATAAACGCCGCGGAACGGTATATTTTTTTTTCTGTTTTTAGTAAGTGTTTAGAATAAATTTTCAAATGATACTAAGTTTTTGTTGGAAAGTGAAATAGTAAAGTGTTGGGAGGGCAAAAGATTTGTATAGAGTTCTATGGGAAATTAATTGGTACCCTTTTCCCTATAGAACTGTCTGTTTATGTTGTGGTGCCACCTGGAGTATTATCTCATTCACTGTGTTCCTGTCAATCAGCAGACATCTACGTATCAGAGTCAGACTCGCAGACACACTCAACTCGGGAGGCTTCAAGGTTAGTCAGGATCTTTGTATCTCAGGTCTTTTTATGTGGTACAAACTAATTTTTATTTAATTGTATTGTATGCATGAATATTTTTACCTCCAATTTTATTTCATACCTTCTGAGAATAAAAAATAGGGCGAATTTAAAAAAAATGACATGACGGAATCTAAGTGAATTAAAAAATTGTTTTGAAAGTTTAAGTGGGCAAATATATAGCTACAGAACTGTAGCTCTCTGCTTGAGAAAATTCGGACAGATAAAGCAGAGAGCTACAGATCCAAGCGTTGTAAAAACCTTCGATTTACGCCGACGATATTTTGTCGCATTTTTTCGTGTATTTTATACTTTTCCCAGTTTTAAAAATAATTTTAAATGGTTTTTAATAATTAATCGTACATTCAACTTCAACTTCTGATCATTTACTTACCTCTCAACGCTAACAAATGGCTGTTTGTGGTTATACGGACGTCGAATTGGAACTCTTTTAAACCGACATTACAAAACTGTATACAGGACTGTTTCGGACTGTTAAAAGGTAGACAAAGTATCAAGTATACGAGTTAAATATATGAATTATTTATAGGTTGCTTTTGAAAAGCCATAGAAAGCTTAAACTACACGAAATAAATGCCCAAAGTAGCGACAACAAATTACGGCGTAAATCGAAGGTTTTTACAACGCTTGGGTCTGTAGCTCTTGCTTTATCTGTCCGAATTTTCGCAAGCAGAGAGCTACTGTTCTGCAGCTAGCAAATATGAAACCCAATGAAAATAATGTTGCATACAATATTTTTTATCTCAGTGTGTAATGTACTTCTAGGTTGTGATTGCTGATTAGTTAATTAATGTTTACAGATTTGATTGGGATTTCCCACTCATCATTCCAGATAGTGATTTCTGATTAGTTAATCTTTAATTTTTAACAGATCTGACAGGAATTTCTTACTCATCACTGGGAGAATCTGATGCCAACTCTTTATCAGACATAGACAGACAGCTTATGAGGGGAGTGACCAGTGAAGATATTGAGACACTGAAACAGCAACTCCGCCATACACAACTCACTCCTCAAAAAGATACAAAGATTGACCAGGTAGTGAAAGGACAGATAATGATTCCAAATATAGGGAGAAGCCATGAGAAAAAAGATGTACAAAAATGAAAGAAAAATATTACAATGTAGTCCATACCTCTCCCACAGTCAACATTTTAAAAAAATGGTTCAACCCCCCCTTTCTAACACAACCCCCACCGTAGTTCACCTTTCACCCACAGCCAAGTGTTACAGCCAAACCTTTCCCCTGGCCCATCTTAAGATATAGTTCAAATACATCCTTCCCAATCTCCACCTTTAAAGTGATTCATCTATTCTTCCATGAATCAGATTTAACTCTCTCCCACAGCCGTAATTTTAAAGTGTTTTGTCCATCCCTTTTCTCGCGCCAGCCTGCCTTAAAATTGTGTCAATGTTTTGTGAGATTAAATGATAAATGGAAATTCGCTTTTCTTGTGGAACATTGGAAATAGCATATTTTATTCCATAATAGGGTACAACTTGATCCAGATGGCATTATATAACACTGAATACTTGAAAATGAGAAATACAGTGTATTTTAATTGAGCTAATGCTTAATTTATAACCTAACTATGAAAAATGTCTTTGGATTTGTTTAAACCATTGTTTGTTTGTTCGTTTGTTTATTTAGGAATACTGTAAGTCCAGGACCCACTACATGAGCTTTGTGGAGGCCCTCATAAGGAAAGTAAGAAGACTATTTAGGCTCAACACGGGGAGCTGATAAGTTATAAAAACAGACACAGCTGGCTCACTATAGTGAAATGATTTAAGTTGTCTATAAAATTTGATATGACTTTTTAATATTTAGTTCTACTGACAGTGGACTTATTGAGCTGATATCCCATGGAACTTGATGCATTAATATCTGTTGAAATCATTTTTGACCATGTATTAAAGATGAATGTGAATTAAAATGAAAACATCTACAATAAAGGTTTTCTGAATCAGTTTTCTCATATTTGTTTTGGGTTACATATACAGACAAACTTGCACCCTATGAATCCCAAAGAATCCATAAAAAACATGCAAAATAAAGTGGTTAAATAATTTATCTTGGTCATTTAAAATTCTTAAATAAATTACATATAACTAGATTAAAAAGATGTACATTTATTTAAGATTTATAGGCATTTTATTATAACTGAATCAAAAGTACAGTATAATCACAACCCTTCAGTATGCAGTGCATGAAACAGGATCAATTTGAAAAATGTACAATTTTTCTTTCTTTGTGCTCGCAAATAAACATGGTATTCATTTTGTCATTTTGAAATATTGAAGTTTTCTTCCAATTAACGTTACATTATTGAGAAGTCATTTCAATCTTGGGTAGAATTCTGAAACGATTATTATTAATAATTGAATTTTTTATATATATATTATACCTTATTGATAATATTGGAAATATTTTCACACACACGCACACATCAGCACTAGAAAGTGAATTATTAACTACATCTTGTGAATTTGGCTACTGGAAAAAATTCTATCACAAACATGTTATTTAAAACACATTGATTACATGTATTTGATTTTCTTCACTTTACCACTTTTCCACTCAGCTACAAACAGGTTGTCTCTAGAGTCTGTGCATAAATCCGATGGATCGTGTAGATCACAATTATCAATGTAACGGAGGAACTGTCCGTCCTGATCTAGGATGTGGATACAGTCGTTACCAATGTCTGCTGTCAGGATCTGACTCTGACTGTCTGTTGTGATGCTGTATGGATCAAATGATCCCTTGTTAGTAGAGGGATGACCAGTGTATCTAAATCGGAGTTTTCCTGCCTGATTAACCACCACTACTGCGCGGGCTCCCCAGTCAGCTACACAGATATCTAGGTTCCTGCTCTCACTTATGTGTTTAGTGTCTCCAGTTAAATACAGAGGTTTACCTTCACTATCAAACTGAATGGTTTGTTTCTCTGCAGAGCCAGAATAACGGACAACCTTTGATTGCTTTTTATCTTCACTGTCCATAATAACCAGGAGGTCACCAGAAGAGGTACTACTAACAAAGTAAGGTTTCCATCCCTGTAGTTTGATCACTTCCTGTATTTGTTTTTTCTTCACTATGTTTACAGTTCTTGTTTCACTATCAGTATAAACTAGATCTCCACACCTTGTCACTGTTAAGTCAACTGGCCATCTCCTTGACTTGGTTTTGATTGACTTCAGTAGTTTGCCCTTGAAGTTGTAGAGTTTAATAATTTTGTCATCACCACATGTCCAGATATTTTCATCACTGAGACAGGCAACACTGTTAAGATTTGCATACCCAGTGTCTATGGTGGCAATGAGCTCTGGTTCATCAAGCAGTGGTTTGAATGTGTACACACAATCTTCTATTGTAATGGATAATGGTGACAGAAAACCTAACAATTTACGGAGCTCTTCTGTGTTGATCTGACGAGGAGAGAAATCTGGTAATGATACATTGAGGTCTGGAGGTAAATATCTGAACTCTGCATTTCTGGATTTGTACGCAAAGGTTAAAGACGCTTCATTGCAGTCGAGTATTTCCTTCAGATCGAGTATGTACTGATTCACTTTTGCGGCAATCTGTTTGATTTCATTTTCCTGTTTATTTAGAGCTGCCAGGTGTTGAGTTTTCATCTCATCAATTTCAGATTTCTGTTTGTTAACAATAATGTTAATTTCTCTATGCCTGTCTTCACCTTGTGTGGTGACAGCTGTTGTTAATTTACTGTAGTGTGTTTCCAAGTTGTCTTTCTTGGATCTTATGTCTGATGCAATTTCTTCATATTTGGGGTAAATTCTTGTCTCAAGTTCTTTTAATTCATTTTCCAAGTCTTTTGTTTTGAAGTTGAGTTTTTGTAAAACATCGGATAGTGGGTGTTCTTTATGTTTACCCGTGGACAGACAGTTAGAACAGACAGGAATGTCACATTGCTCACAGTAAAGTTCACAGTTCTTGGAATGCATGTGACATTTTGGATTATTAGGAGTTGAGGTTCTTTCTTTATATGGTACGACTCTATGTTTTTGGCGATCCCGAGAGATGCTACTGTACACAGGCCTTACACAGGTTAATCTGACAAAGTTCACAATGACTCTGTAATGCAGCTCTTTGACACAGGTCACAGAGGAGGAGAACTTGAGCTCTGTCCAGGGGGTCCATCTCTGGGGTTTGGTTAAAAAGAAAATCAGATGACTCTGTATAAAGTAAAAAGAGGCATGGGTCACTGACTTCAGGAATATGACACAATTTTAAATAAATAAAATATAGAGTTTATGTTTTGTTAGAGAAATTAGGACAGTGTCGGTTTAGAAATAACAGGAAGGATCTATTTGCAGCATTAATATGGCATGTAAACTTTTCTTGTTTGATAACAAAAAATGAAAAAATGTTAAACAACAGTCAAAACAGTCATGTAGTAAATAAATGTATCTAAAGTGGCCCGCTCATGCAATTTATCTAATGTATTATACGTGTACTAGACTTGAGATCAATAATGAAATCTGGAAATGTTTTTCAGCAAGTTAAACATGTTAAATTTTCTAAATATAATATAGCCTCACCTCTAAATCCAACATGGCCTCCCTGATAATCCTGTACATCACAATTTACTTCCTTGTCTTCATTCTAAATGTTAACCTGTTACCAGGTCACCTGATTTAAATACCTCAGCTATCTAAATATATCAACCTTTGAGAGGTACGTTTAAATTAAAATAGATTAAAGTTAAGGGGTGTTATTAACAATAGTTACCGTATATGGTCATTAAACCCATGAAAATGATCTTTAGAGAGTCACCCCGTCTATCTTTTATCTCCAAGCTCTCATTATCTTCGCCAGCCATGGTTTCCGATCCGAAATCTACTCTACAACCCTAGGGATCTAGCGAAGATGGCTTTGAATATATCCATCATATTTTTGTCTATACGAAAAGTCTTTGAAATATTTTCTCCCTTAATTTTGTAGACGTTTATTATAATATGAACTATACACTTATACCTGGCATTTTCAGATAAGTTTTTCTAAGTTTTAAGGACGGGTGACTTCATGCAACAGTGGCGTAGCATCGTTTTTGAAAAGGGGGGGCAGCCTGAGAATTTTTTTTTTTACTTACCTGAAAAAGTTGACAAGTAAAAAAAACAGTTTGCCCAAAAGTCAGAAATCCTATTTCGGGGGGAGGGGAGGGGGGGGGGTAGGTGAAATTTTTCTCAGTGTCAACTACTTCAGTACCAATTCTAATACTTCATTTTCGGTACATCACTTAAAAAGTCTAAAATTTAGGGGGGGGCAACAACTAGGTTTTCAATTAACATTTCCTATAGTACATGAAACAGTAAGAGTGGGAAAAAAGTGGGGGGGGGGGGGAGCCCCCCCCCCCCTCCGTTGCTACGCCCCTGTACAATTAAGGATATGCGAAAATTGCGATAAAATAAACTCTGAAAGCAGACATTTTCTTTTAATTGCACGAATGGTCAACATCTTATCTAGCTGCAGATCTGTAGCGTCATGGTTTTATATATTTGTCTTTTTTAACCACCTTTCAACCATTTATAGTTGTCTCTTCAGGCAAAAAACTCGCTTGAAGTCAATTTTCAGCAGTATAAAAAATAATTTTAATCAAGCGAGTTCATCACTTGTAAAGACGAGTATAAAGGGATGGGAGGTGTATAAAATATACATATTGGCTACAGAATGTGTCTAGAATTAGGGAGTGAAAGTGGAGAAATTCCCCCAAAAGCGCGCAAAAAATATTGAGCCATAAATTGCATGCACCTTTTTGCATTACAGGATCTGTAGCGTTATGGTCAAAGACAAATATTTAAAACCATAACGCTACAGATCTGCAGCTACATCTTATCTATAAATTAATGCTATTACATAACATAAATTGCTTTATAGAACATTTAATTGATACTTTCACACACAGGCAATTAACGTTTATTTATTTTTATTATTAGGTAGGGGGCAGATTTTTTTATTAAAAGAAAAAAATAAGCAACGTGAGGCGTTGAGCTTGCACATGAATCATATGTATTCCTTTTGAGAACTTTCCTTTGGTACCAATAACTTTTAAATTACGTTAAGAACTTGGAGTATGATCTGTAGAAGTTATGAAAAACTGAAAACCCTGATCATATAACTTTTTACTGGTCAAGGGGTGGGGGTGGGGGGGGGTAAGGGAGGCAATAATTTTATCATGCTTTAATTGTAGTTGTACCTAGAGTTTGAAATATATTTGAAAACTTTAATCTTATATATATCTTATATCTTATATAGAGCTTTAATCAACTGAATCAGTGTTTCACAAGATCATCTTCTTTTCAAATTGTCTCATTTGAATTTAAAAAACCTGTTTATGTGCTGTATTAACTTTTTATGTCAATTTGCATCGGGTTCAAGATTGAAAAATATTAGTTTCATATTGGCGTCAAATCAAAAAACCTCAAAGTAGCCAGTCGCCGAGTCGGCAGTTGTACACTGGGCCCATAATATTAGACAAACACTTCTAATAGTGACACGAAAAAGTAGGTAAGCTATATCCATAATGTTCTGTTGTCTGTTATCCTAAAAGCAAAGTGTTTGAAAAAATTATGTGTAAAGATTGACTGAAAAAGATGCAAGAACATGAAGAACCAGTTACCTAGTTAGAATAATCTAACTGTGTCTAGGTACAAGAGCCCTCACCACAGTTAGAATACCACCCATATACTCGCAATGTAGCAAAAAATTGCAGAATCGCAACGAAACGATTTTGAAGGATACAAACAGATTTGCACGGAAAATAACATAAATTAATCAAAACAAACCTTTTTGAGATTGCTTATGCCTTTTATCCCAAAAAATAATCCATAGAAATACGAAAATCTAATAAATTTTCTCAACGTTTTTCTCTCAATATTCAAAGCTGTCATGTTTACATTCTGAACTCTCTAGATTGTTCCCAGTAAATGCACTATGCGGGTTATTCTTTTTGCTACATTACGAATACACGGAACGAATTTATCGTTAAACCGGGTCCGTAGGACAATATCATTTTAACGATAGGACATTCTATCTACCAGTTACCCAGTTACCCTTTTTAATTTTATTTATAAATTTAAACTGTCAGAACGCCTTTTTATTGTTCTATTTGTGCAAATCTTTGACAATCATCAACTAATTCTGTACAGAAATAATACACTACAAGTACAATTTAAATGGGATATAGATTTATACGCATATAAGTACTTAGCTGCAGATCTGTAGCTATCCGAAAAAATATATATTGATAGACCAGATAGCTACAGTGCCACCCATTGAAAAAAACTGTATATTTATTGCGCACAAAAAGTGCGCTCGGTTCTTAATTATTTCTTCAAAATTCTTACCTCATTTGCAAAAGAAGGAAGATTTAAAAAAAGTTTCTCTTTCCTCTATCAAGTACATTCATAGTTGACATCTGAACGAAGTAAATTGGTCCGAATTATCATGGAAACCAAAATGGCAGTTATACAATCGAAATGTTCGATGTTTACAATATCAGGGTCAGGAGGACTCTTAACAACAATTATGACGAATGTTTTGTTGTGAAAAGAGTCAAAGAATATGTTAGGAACACGCGGTTAGTAATATCTTGAGATTATAGATTTAGAAACATGGAGAAATAAATCGAAAAGCGAGCGCACTTTTTTGTGCGCAATAAATATACAGTTTTTTCAATGGGTGGCACTGTAGCTATCCGGTCTATCAATATATTTTTTTTTTCGGATAGCTACAGATCTGCAGCTAATAAGTACTGTGTAATGGGTATCAACCTGAATACTGGTAGAGCACCTGACTAGTGATACTGAGATCCTGGGCTCAATTCCTTGTCCAGCCATACATTTTCTCCTCTCCTTTTATAACTGAATTTAATTTAATAGCTATACAGTAAACTTGGTTATAGCGAAGTCCTGCCAGGGACCTGTGAATTTAATTTGCTATAAGCATGTTTTTCCTCAAATATTACTACCATACTTATGTAACGTTCGGGAAGCAAATATTACAAAACATACCTTCGATAAGCAAGGTTTTATTATGATTTGAATTTTATATACAAATGCTGAAATAAAATAAGTCCAGCAGGTCCATACAGAGCAGTGCTCAAAAGTATGGGCCCAGCAGGTACAAACAGGGCAGTGTCCAGAGTATGGACCCAGCAGGTCCATACAGAGCAGTGCCCAAAGTATGGGCCCAGCAGGTACAAACAGGGCAGTGTCCAGAGTATGGACCCAGCAGGTCCATACAGAGCAGTGCCCAAAGCATGGGCCCAGCAGGTACATACATGGCAGTGTCCAGAGTATGGACCCAGCAGGTACATATAGGTCAGTGCACTATGGCCCATGGATGGTGGGAAGTCCCTAGAAGCTTGTTTGGTTTAAAAAATTGAAGTTTATCTAATTGCTAATGGGACTGCAAATTTCGACTTTATGCTCAACACTCAAGGTTTAATCAAGCAGCAAGGGATCTCTTTTGTACCAGCGGTCTACTGCTACAGGGGTTCTCAGTTTACATTTAATTGTCTTATCATAGGGACTGGTCTACATGTGACTCATGGCCCACATTGGGAATTGAATCTGCAATATAAATTAAGGATCAACTCCTTCGTTACGCTGTGACTCACGAGCAGACTCTCTACCCACTGTGTCATGCAGACAAGTTATTAGTTATATATTGAGAGCAAGAATCAAGTGATTTCACCAAACACATACAAACTTTAGATTAGCTATACTTGTATTTTATACTGACTTTACATGTATCCTCTAAAAGTAAACTTGAATTTAATTAACATGATAAATAGATTGTAAGCTAATTCAAAGTTTATAAGATTGAAATAAGAAAAATTTTCAGCTGAGTAGTCCTGTAGTTGTTCTAACTGAGAAGTGGCAGAATGTATAAATGATAGTGATACAACTTCCAGCAGATGCCCCCCCCCCCCCAATGGCCAATCAAAGTTTTACATAGAAATATATATAAGAAAAATCTTTAAAAATCTTCTTCTCAAGAACCACTGTGCAAGGAGAGATGAAACTCAAAGGGAAGCATCTTCAGGTATTGTAGATACAATTTCTTTTCAAAAGTCACCACCCCCGGGGTAGGGCAGGGTCACAATGAAATATAAAGGAAAATTCTTTAAAAATCTTCTCTGGAATAGCAAATGCATGAATGATCATATTTTTATGGAAGCATTCCTCAGGTAGTGGACATTCAAGTTTGTTCAAATAATGACCCCAGGGGGTAGGGTGGGGCCACGACATGGAATCCAAGTTTTACATAGAAACATGTAGAAAAAAATCTTTAAAAATCTTTTTTCAAAAATATCAAAACCATGATCAGTCCTATTCATATGGAAGCATTCTCAGGTATAGTGTAGATTCAATATTGTTTGAATCATGACCTCTGGGGGTAGGGCAGGGCCACAATATAAGTTCAAATGTAAAGGGCAACAAACCACAGGTAGTCAAGGAAAAATGCTAGTACTGAGTTAGTGTCACAGGCCTTTGGATCGCTTAAAAAAAAATTTGTGTGTGTAAAAAAAAATAAAGGTACTGAACTCTTACACTGGGTACCTAATTTCGCTCAT